GTTTAGCGCTTAACACGAATTATTTAATGGTAACAATGGCTGAAATAATGGCATATAATGACTATTACGTAAGTTAGCAACGTTTTCAGACACGGTTGTTATGGTTGGAATAATAACAAGGGCAAAAAATCTTAAGAGATTTTTTTCGATAGTGTATGTGTTGCGCTGGCTGGGCGAGATAAAGCACCGTTGGATCTGGCTAATAACTGGAAGGGTGACCATCATGGGAACATATCCCCGTCCTTGGCTAGGTGCAAGTGGTCTTTGGCGAGCCCAATTACGGGTTTCTTGTTCCCTTCAGGTTTTACCCCGGAGTTTCAATAATCAATAGAAAGACAGTATGCCGAACAGTATTTTATTAGGTCTACGTTTCGCTCATCGTTGAGCGAAATGTAGTTTTAATTTATGCTCGTTCTGTGATAAATGAGTGGGTGTGAGTTAGACCTGCGTAGCATGGACCAATAGGCCGTAGTGCTCGTCAATTACGTTCTTATTTTCTCTATTTATAGAAATCCTACTGTTTATATGAAGAACCTGGCGCTACATATGATGGGTTGCTCTGTGCCCAGACCTGTCACAATTACGCTTCTGCCTCTAGTTTCAATATTTCTAAACGTTTCTTTAATACTCTAATGTTAGCAAACTTGGCTGCAAAGCTTGCAATGTTAGCGCAATACCACAATAAAATAATTTAATGTTGGGGAAGTCTGGTAATCAGCATCACTGTTGGTATATTATTTAATAAAGATCGTGTATGTGAATATCAAAATGGTATACAATACCGACAGGTTGGTAGGTAAGACACATAGGCAACAGTTAGGCAACTTTATTCTGAAACGTTTCACCTACACAGTAGGCTACTACTCTGCACCTCTCCTTCCGACAGTATTTAAGTCTCCGCAGTCACTTAACCTTCAGATAGTTCCTGACTATGGAACTGAACCTCTCCAGGCTGAGGGACTGACAACCTCAAATCTACGACTTCAAGGGTGATGGACTGATTACATCGTCTTCACTTCTCTACTGTTCCTGCCTACTTTCTGTACTCGACTGAAGAAGCCGACTGTGTAGGCGAAACGTTTCGGAATAAAGTTGCCTAACTGTTGCCTATGTGTCTTACCTACCATCGTGTATGTGATTCATCTGGAGAACAGTTCCAGTTTTCGTGATCCATTTGGAAGAGTGCTTCCCTGTATTGAAGAAAGTTTAGAGAGCTTCTGTGCAAGGATTTGATTTTCGATGCTTGGAATATCAAATTCTTTCTCCTTGTTTAGTATTTAAGTTGTACACAGCGTAACCGTGGCGAGAACCTTGTGTAGCTTTAAGTATAGGCTGGACAGATAAATGAGTGTGGGTGGGAGTTAGACCTGTCTAGCATGGGCTAATAGGCCTACTGCGAAGCTCTACTATTCATACAGCTAATGGGAAATGGGAGATTATCATATGGGCAAATATTTTTGTTAATGGGTTTGGGTTTGAGAAGGCCCTGTCTAGTATGGGCCAATAGGCCTGTTGCATTGTTCCTCCTTTCATCTTATGTTCTTATTTGATTTGAGGGAGGAGAGAGTTAGCCCCAGTTCTTTGGATCAGACACGACTCACCAGCATCAAGAAACAAACTCCCTCCTTCCCTCCCGCTAAGTAGTGGAGGTTATCAGTGCTGACTCATCATTTATGAAACCTGTGAGCAGTCAATGAGAGGCACCCGTGCGGGACCAAATCCTACATTGTCATACAATTGTGCTGCGCCTCGTTGCTTTCTTCAGTACGAGCAATTCACCACTTTAAAAGGGCTGATAGAGCACTTGGTTCACAACCGAAAGAACCCAAGTTCGAGTTCCAGGCTAGGCGAGACGTGTGGTCAAGTCTCCTTAACCTGTTGTGTCTGTTCACTCGTCAAGTCTCCTTAACCTGTTGTGTCTGTTCACTCGTCAAGTCTCCTTAACCTGTTGTGTCTGTTCACTCGTCAAGTCTCCTTAACCTGTTGTGTCTGTTCACTCGTCAAGTCTCCTTAACCTGTTGTGTCTGTTCACTCGTCAAGTCTCCTTAACCTGTTGTGTCTGTTCACTCGTCAAGTCTCCTTAACCTGTTGTGTCTGTTCACTCGTCAAGTCTCCTTAACCTGTTGTGTCTGTTCACTCGTCAAGTCTCCTTAACCTGTTGGTGTTCACTGTTCACTCCTAACCGTGTGCGTTCACTCGAAGTCTCCTTAACCTGTTGTGTCTGTTCACTCGTCAAGTCTCCTTAACCTGTTGTGTCTGTTCACTCGTCATTCAACAGGTACCCTGGTATTAGTTGACTATAGTAGGTGGCATCTTTTGGTAATGGTATTATATCTTCAATAGAGCTAGGCTTTGAAATAAGTTGAGGTAGGATAACAGTTCTTAGACTGTAAATAAATAAGGTAGACTAAGCTTTTAGCTTGTAGATGAGATAAGGTAAGATAGCAGCTCTTAGCTTGTAAATGAGCTGAGGTAGGAAAACAGTTCTTATCCTGTGGAATAAAACGTAAAAAAACTGAATGGAAAAAAAGTGTTAGGATTTGACCACAAGCACATAGTGACTCTCGTCATTATTATCGCCTAGCACATAGAAGGAGCACATTCTGTACAGCGTCTAATACCTGTATTATTGAGATGGATGAAAAAAAAGGTCGCCGGCTAGATTACTGAGCAGGTTTGCAATATTTTCAGCGTGTATAGGGGCTGCTGCCCAGGGGCCTCCACCAGCTGGAGGGCCTCCAGAGATTAAGTGAAAAGTGTTCACAGTTACTTCTGTGAGTTTGTAATTATACTATGTTATTAAATCGCGTATATAATGAACTGTTCACTGTTCACTGAATGTTGTGTAAAGTAAAAAGGACACAAGTGCAACTAATGTCACATTTTATTGTGGCAACGTTTCGCTCTCCAGGAGCTTTGTCAAGCCGTTTCTTTAACTTTTTTCCTTTCGTAAATATCACATCACTGGGGCCCTCACAGTACCTGTAGTCCAGGGGTCTACAAAATCTTAATCCTGCTCTGAACGTGTATAATATTAGTAGCCCACGAAGCGTGATTCATCACCACCAAGGTAGCTGCAGAGGAATCACTAAGAACTCTACAATACACTCAAGGTGTATAAAGTAACGTATTGTGATTCATCACTTAAAAGAATCTTCCAGCCATGAAGGGTTGTGGGTCGCCCTTCACGCTCCTGCCTCTCAAGTCTTGTAGGTTTACTTGTGGATACACGAGCGTACAGTATGTCCTGTAGCTGGTGTATTGTGCCATGCAGTATGTCTCAAAATTATTAGGATATGTGCATTTTGTCCTCTATCATAATGAATATGGGGTAACTACCTCCTACAAGTTGAGAATGGGGTGACTACCGTCCACAAGATGAATATGGGGTGACTACCGTCCACAAGATGAGCATAGAATGACTATCGTCCACAGGATAGGTATGAGGTGACTCCTGTTTACAGGATGGGTATGGAGTGACTACCGTCCTCAGGGTGGGTATGGAGTGACTACTGTCCTCAGGGTGGGTATGGAGTGACAACCGTCCTCAGGATGGGTATGGAGTGACTACCGTCCTCGGGATGGGTATGGAGTAACTACCGTCCTCAGGGTGGGTATGGAGTGACTACCGTCCTCAGGATGGGTATGAAACATTGGGTGGAAACGTTGGGCATGTTTCCTTACACCTGTCCCTGTTCACCTAGCAGTAAGTAGGTACCTGGATGTTAGTCGACTGGTGTGGGTTGCATCCTGGAGGACAAGACTGAAGGACACCAAAGGAAATAAGACAGACAGTCCTCGATGACGCACTGACTTCCTTGGATTATCCTGGGTGGTTCACCATCCGGGTTAAGAATCCAAACTTAAACGTTTCCTTTGATAAATGTCCTGATATTGTACACAAGTGTTCTCTGTAGAGTGTTCGTTTGAACATATACAAGTACGTTTATTCAGGCTAACACAAATACAGTTACATAGATTATAAAAAGTAGGGGCGCCATTGGTACACTAAGGGAAAACACCATAAGTGTCCGGGGCCCAAGACTGTTCAACAGCCTCCCATCAAGCATTAGGGGAATTGCCAATAAACCCCTGGCTGCCTTCAAGAGAGAGCTGGACAGATACCTAAAGTCAGTGCCGGATCAGCCGGGCTGTGGCTCGTACGTTGGACTGCGTGCGGCCAGCAGTAACAGCCTAGTTGATCAGGCCCTGATCCATCGGGAAGCCTGGTCATGGACCGGGCCGCGGGGGCGTTGATCCCCGGAATAACCTCCAGGTAACCTCCAGGTAGCAGCATATGTGTAAAGAATCTTGAATAACCCCCCAAAAAAATCGCAGTGCATAAACTAGTGGTATATCCAAGCCATATTCCATATCACGTTCAGGATTAATTTACAAGGGATGAGGGATCTCGCTCGGTCCGTGCGAGAGTCAAGCGATGTGCTGGTCAAGTACCATCATGTATGGCCAGCAAGCGGATGGGTGAAAAGGTGGATATTATCCCATTCTTAGGGAAACCCGATAAGCCACTGGTATTGATATGGCTTGCCATATCTTACCCAAACTATCCTATGGGAGACGTCACTAAGATTAATTCAATTCATTTCTATATGTCAACGTTGATATGGCTCTTCAGTAGCATTTTTTACGATTCTAGCGACTTATAAAAGGTAATTTTCTATATATGGCATTCCTTTCTATCAGAATCAATAGTGAAAAGCAATGTTTTGGTATTATATGCACGTGTTACTGCGCATACGTTGGCCTCCCTGGGTAGCAACGATACCAACTACTAATTCTACCACTTAAATACGTTTTATTTACAAGATTAACAATAATATTCTATTTGGAATTTATGTTAGAAGCGTCATTAGATACTAAACCTATCGTGGAGAATTTGAGGTGTGAATTAAATAAAGAGAATGTGAGAAAAATGGAGAGAAATGAGAGGTGTGGTGAGAGGTGGCAGATACGAAGCAAAACAAACGAGAGGGTGCTGCTGGTGGAGACCCAGACATCAAGAGGACTCACTCAGGGGTGTACTCTCTCTGTCGTTGTCATCCACCTTCATTCATCCTCCTAGTGTATTCAAAGCCCACCCATGTGTAACAAGGTTTTACTGCAGAAATTAAGTGTGGGCCAAGACACATTCCCATACCACAAAGAGTACGGATTAACTGAAGGTTATAGTGACTCTATAGTGCTCTAGTGCTTCTAACATAGTAACATCATCACATCAAAAGTTGGCAGGGTATTGCTACTCATTACTGTGATGCAACACTCATTATAGTCTATGGAAAACCCAAATTCATTTTTAGAACCCCGACTACTCCATGCATTATATGCCATTGTAATACATAATTAGTACCTGTCTCAATAAACTAAAATATATCAACCTTGTAATTAGACACATCTCCCAGCAAGATCATCATCTGTGTTATCTTGTAAGATCTAGTGCAGGAACTTCCGTGTTTTAACCTCCAAAGGCGGAAGGAATTCCTTTGTAATTACTGTAGCTACATCCGACATACTATCTGAAGGTTGCTGCTGATCCTGACAGGTATATATAAAGAGCTCACCTCAGCAACGACTCTTATTTCCCTCTTGAGAGAGAGTTTAGTGTCATCCACAATTACTTCTACCTACTGTTGCCCTAAACTCTTAACAGAAAAGTTAGAAGCACTAAGATTAATCACGACTGGGTCACTGGACTGAATCGTCTACGTCGTAACTCAGTTTATATACAATTGTTAGACGAGGTTGACTTAGAGACGAACATTGAAGCATTGTATAGAGAGCTTCACTGTGGCGGAGAAAGGTTACTGTTTGCTCTTGTGTGGTCGTCTAGGAATGGCACCCACCCCCACCATGGAGCCTGTCGACGGCCAGGAAGACTGGCTACGCATGGCACGTGAACATCCCGTCATGAGGATGACCAGGAATGACAAAGGTCAGTACTGACATACTCTACTTGCCTATTTTTGTTATTATATAATTAACATTATCTAATATTACAAAAGTGTAAAACGCCGTAGGTCTATCTGTAGCGCACTTGACTCTCACACTGAGGTCCGGAGTTCGAATCGCCGGTACGACTGCCCCTCAAGGGAGGTTCCTTGACGCTGGTGAGGGGCTCTTGATCTAGGGAATTGGATCTGTGCTCCGGTTCCCTGAAATGAGCCTGAATACCTTCCATCCCCCCCACATGCGCTGTATAATCCTACGGGTTTAGCGCTTCCCCATGATTATAATAATCGGTACGGCTGAAAAACATTAGGGACGTGTTTCCATGAGACACCTACTGTCCCTGTTCACCCATTAATATAAAATAGGTACCTGGGTGTTAGTCGACTTGTGTGGGTCACATCCTGGGACAAAACTGACCTAATTTACCCGAAATGCTCAGCATAACAATCGGCTTTCTATATAGTAGTATGTCATTGATGTCAGCTATGGTCTGTATACCTTGTACATATACTTGTAGAAACATATTATTATCCTTGAGGTTTTGACCCTATGACCTCCTAGGCGGGAGAGTATCACCACACGGCCATGGTGTGTATTCGCCTTTACTCACCTCTATGTGGTTGCAGGGGGTCGATTCACAGCTTTGTGTGTGTTAAAAAGCTAAGTAGTAGATGCCAGCAAAGTGGCATATTAGGACATATTTATTAGAAAACATATCAGTCCCGGGACATTGGTCACTTCTAACACACACAGGTTGAAAATAGCAGTACATGTAGGCAGAAAGTGGGGTGTGAGTGTAACAGTGACCTGAAAAATGCATCTAAGGCTTATTTGAGATGAGGTCAGGTAGACAATGAAGTTACGTGATTCCTGTGTTGCGAGGTAGGCTGGTCTTTGCTCGGTTAAGTATCATGTATGCCAGTGTTTTTTGAAAATTTGTAGCTTCCTGTATTATGTTCTACGATTCTAGTGACGGCGATTAGCGAGACTTGTAGATATCGACGGCGTTTAAGATCATGTTTAGTGAGGACGAGTTGTGCCTCATTGCAACCCGTCAGTGTCCCATGGAGGACACTGTTACAAGCGTGTCCATTTTCGCTCAGGCGGACCTAAAGATTTCTGCCAGTTTTCTCAACATATGTCTTAGGACAGTATCCACAGGGGTTGGTGTAGACGCCCGCTGTGGAAGTTAAGAGGTGTGGGACTTCGCTTCATAGTGAGGTCTTTTAAGTATCAGGTCTTGGGACCTGACACATATGTTGTCTCTCATTGTACTCATGGCACCCCTGCTTTTCATTGGGGGGATGATGCACCGCTTGCCGAGTCTTGCTTTCGTAGGGAGTAATTTCCGTGTGCAAATTTGGGACTAGTCCCTTAAGGATTTTCCAGGTGTAGATTATGTATCTTTCTGACTATCTCTCTCTTCTTCAATCTCCCTTCGCATCTTAACCTCTCCTGGGCGATGATGACACTCAAAATGTTAATTGATAATGAAAAAAGTCACTTGTTGACCCCGTCCTTCCTTTTATCCTTGAGTCCTCTACCCAGCTTGCCCCCTCCTTTTACTTACCGCTAATTGCCACTTTCTCTTCTTCCCCTTCCCCTCAGGGAAGGTTCCTTGACACAGGTGAGGGGCTCTTGATCTAGGGTATTGGCTCTGTGCTCCAGTTCCCTGAATTATGAATTAAGCCTGAATACCTTCTATATCCCCCCACAGGCGCTGTATAATCCTACAGGTTTAGCGCTTCCCCCTTTGATTATAATAATAATCTTTCCCTTCCCTTCACATGCTGTGTCCCCGTCTGTGCATGACTGTCTCCTGTTTTTCCAGTATTCTCAAAATGATGACACGAAATGAGAAAAAATGTAGTCCATTCAGTATTACTATAGAGTTGATATGAAATGTGTCGGCAAAATGTAAAATTCAATAATAATAATAATAATAATAATAATAATAATAATAATAATAATAATAATAATAATAATAATAATAATAGGATCTATCATTATCCTAGGAAGGCCATCACTGTATTGACGTCAGTGTCTGGGTTTTTTTTTTTTGTTACAGTGATAACGTTGTCTTTGTTCTCTGTCCTTGACGGTTGACCACTATTAGGAAAAATATACTTCTTGAGTGTTCTTTCTTTAGGATTATGTGGTGCGGTTATTTTTGTTTTAGTTATCCCTTCTGGAGATAACGTGTGCGTTATTTTTTTTTCTTTGCTGTTTGCACATGATCTTGAGAAAGCCTCATCACTATAGAAACCTGGAGGTTACCTGGAGGTTATTCCGGGGATCAACGCCCCCGCGGCCCGGTCCATGACCAGGCCTCCCGATGGATCAGGGCCTGATCAACTAGGCTGCTACTGCTGGCCGCACGCAGTCCAACGTACGAGCCGCAGCCCGGCTGATCCGGCACTGACTTTAGGTATCTATCTGTCCAGCTCTCTCTTGAAGGCAGCCAGGGGCTTATTGGCAATTCCCCTAATGCTTGATGGGAGGCTGTTGAACAGTCTTGGGCCCCGGACACTTATGGTGTTTTCCCTTAGTGTACCAATGGCGCCCCTACTTTTTATTGGGGGCATTTTGCATCGCCTGCCCAGTCTTTTACTTTCGTAGGGAGTGATTTCTGTGTGCAGATTTGGGACCATTCCTTCCAGGATTTTCCAAGTGTAGATTATGATATATCTCTACCTCCTGCGTTCCAACGAGTACAAGTCAAGTGCTTCCAAGCGTTCCCAGTAAGGTGTTTGACAGAACTTATACGTGCAGGAAAGGATCTCTATACACTCTCTAGATCTGCGATTTTACCTGCTTTGAATGGAGATGTTAATGTACAGCAGTATTCCAGCCTAGAGAGAACAAGTGATTTTAAAAGGATCATCATTGGCTTGGCATCTCTCGTTTTGAACGTTCTCATTATCCATCCTATCATTTTCTTTGCACGTGCGATCGTGGCACTGTTGTGATCCTTGAAAGTGAGATCCTCAGACATTACTACTCCCAGGTCCCTTACATTATTTTTCCGCTCTATTGTATGGCCGGAGTCAGTAGTATACTCTGTTCTAATTATTATCTCCTCCAGTTTTCCATAACGGAGTAGTTGGAATTTGTCCTCATTGAACATCATATTGTTTACCGTTGCCCACTGGAAAACTTTGTTTATATCTTCTTGGAGGTTAACCGCGTCCTCAGCAGATGACAGCCTCATGCAGATCCTAGTATCATCCCCAAAGGATGATACGGTGCTGTGTTGTATATCTCTATGTCTGATATGAGGATAAGGAATAAGATGGGGGCGAGTACTGTGCCTTGTGGAACAGAGCTCTTCACTATGGCAGCCTCCGATTTAACTCTGTTGACCACTACTCTTTGTGTTCGATTTGTTAGGATTTGTTAGAACACTCGTGTATATTAAATGAGGCATTCTACTAAAGCAGGAAAGTTTACCATAGTGGCCACTTTGGGAACAAATTTTCAGGGTTAAAATATAATAAAGGAATTTGATTTAAAAGCAGTAGGACTTAGCAATAATCTTCCATGGGTACTGAGAAGAGTTGTACCTTCTTACCTGATTGTTTGAAAATTAATTAGCGCTCTGATTGGTAACTCGGGGTTTATAAGTGCTATAAGTGCTAAGACTTTCTTTGTTGTTTATATTATATATGGAATTGGATGTTGCTTTTTTTTGAAAAGCAAGAATGACGCTGTAATTTTACGATTTTTTTTACAAATTAACTTTTCATTGATCATAGATTACATAGTTCATATACACTTCACACATATTACTTGGCACTTTCACGTTAGTGTAACATCACAGTTTACGTATACCTTGCCTTAGTATATAAGAACATAAGAACATAAGAACGAAGGAACACTGCAGAAGGCCTACTGGCCCATGCGAGGCAGGTCCAAGTCCCTACCGGCTTAAGCCAATGCACCCAACCTAGTCAGGTCAGGTCACATTGACTTAAGGGAGGAACACGGCAACCGACCTGTTAGCACAAGCTATCAGGTCTAACTCACACCCACCCACATCTACTCATGTATTTATCCAACCTATTTTTAAAGCTACACAACGTTCTGGCCTCTATAACGGTACTTGGGAGTTTGTTCCACTCATCCACAACTCTATTACCAAACCAGTACTTTCCTATATCCCTCCTGAATCTGAATTTTTCCAACTTAAAACCATTGCTGCGAGTCCTGTCTAGGCTAGATATTTTCAGCACACTATTTACATCCCCTTTATTTATTCCTGTCTTCCACTTATAAACCTCAATCATATCCCCCCTAATTCTACGTCTTTCTAGAGAGTGCAGATTCAGGGCCCTTAGTCTATCCTCATAGGGAAGTTTCTGATACATGGGATCATCTTTGTCATCCTCCTTTGTACATTTTCCAGAGAATTTATATCCATTCTGTAATACGGTGACCAAAACTGTGCAGCATAATCTAAATGAGGCCTAACCAAGGATGTATAGAGTTGAAGAACAACCTGAGGACTCCTATTATTTATGCTTCTTGATATGAAGCCAAGGATTCTATTAGCTTTATTGCGAACACTTATGCACTGTTGTCTTGGTTTCAGATTACTGCTAACCAGAACTCCTAAATCTTTTTCGCAATCCGTAATATTAAGATCTACATTATTTAGTTTATATGTGGCATGGTTATTGTCCTGTCCAACATTTAGAACTTTGCATTTGTCTATATTAAACTGCATCTGCCACTTCTCCGACCACTGCATCAGTCTATTCAAATCTTCCTGGAGTGCTCGAATGTCCTCGTCAGAATGAATTCGACGGCCTATTTTGGTGTCATCAGCAAACTTGCCGATGTCGCTCTTTATGCCCTCATCTATGTCGTTTATGTAGATTGTGAACAGCAGGGGCCCAACACTGACCCCTGTGGAACACCGCTCGTGACGCTACCCCACTCTGATTTCTCCCCATTTATGCAAACTCTCTGCTGCCTATTTGT